AATCCCAAAAGAACAAATGGAATAATGAAATAATTTTATTCATAAATTTTTGATTACGAAGAGATTCATGACCAAGAGGACTAACTAGTCTTGAACAGATTAAACCATCAATTACTTCAATTATAATATGATGTAATATTTTAGAGGTTAAGCATTCGTGTGCCAGACTGAAGGCCCTGGGTCCGGATCCCGCGAGTGGGATCGTGAATGAGCACTGCTGAAGAGTCCCACAATATAATGAAACGTCCATCCAGTCCTACTATGTTTTCAATGGTGGTCTAACATCAATCGGTTCGTGATTTCAATCTAAAATATCTTAGGCTATGACAATTTGTTATCTATATAGCATCAGTTCTCTGAAGATTGTAGGTACACCTTGAAGGGGGTGAACGAGTACCAATCAGTATAAGGTGTAGATCCATGGTTTTTTTTCCACTTCATTTAATATCAATTTCAGTAACAACTAAATTGTCAATAATAAAATATTTCTGAAATTAAAAACAACTTCATATGACAAAATTCTGTTGATATTTAGAAAAGTGGTTTTACAACTATGAATCTCATTCTGTTTAATATAAGATCATAAACCAAATTCTCTATTTTCTTTTATATCAATACATTGTATTCCCTCTTTTAGCTATCATTGTTTCTGTTACTGCTACACATGAAAGAAATATGAAATCATTAAAAGAAGCTCATCATATTTCATTGAAACGTATTTATGAATTGGAACAATTACTTCAAGATAATAATATATCAATACCTTCATTAACACCAAAGAGTCAATCTATATTAACAAAAATATTTTAAACTTCAATTGAATTTATCATAAAATATTTTATCAAAATAAATTTTAGCATCATTTTCAAATTTTCGCGAAAAAAAATGCTCTTCATTATATTTATATTACTTATTATCATGATTAAGTAGTATGAATTATTTATGTGATATTTTACAATGAATAAGTTTAATTTCTTATTTCATTATGTGTTGTCTTTTATAGCTTCATTGTTTTGACTTCTTTATTTACCATTTTAATTAGAATTCCAGGTTTCTTCCTTCTAATATCTTTATATATACATAAATATTAATCCATAGTAACAGAAATACATTCGTGTGATATAAGTTAATTATAGTATTCAGTCCTTTAAACCTGTTCTCAATATTATTGTGAACAAATTCAACTATATTATTATAATGACTGATTGATTTCGTCATATAGATAGATGTTCAATGATCATGATGGTCATTTTTTAGAATACAACAACGATTTCCTTTCTCTCTTGACATTAGAAAAAAGAAAAGACATTTCAACACAGTTGTATTTCATGTTATTTTATTCTCTGTTTACTTGATTGATTTTATTGTAACAATGATGTAATTTCGGTATGGAATCAAGTTAAAATATGGTTTGCAAGTGATAGTTTACTTGAATACATTGTTGTATTTCAGGGTGATTGAAACATAATTATAACTTATATGATAATCTAAAACTGTACTTTCTGTGTAACTGAAAACAGTCAGTCAGTCAGTAACAACGTAGAACTTCGTACGTACGTACATCAGTTCGAGTTGCCACACCACATTAGCACAGAGATGCAGTTGTCGATTCAAATCCCATAGTGGTAGAGGCGGTAAGAGTATAAGCAGTAATCGGAAAGATTAGGGTTTGAAGATGTTATTGAAGGAGTATAATACAGTGAAATAAATTTAGAAAGAGAAAAAAGAATGGGACATGAAAAATTCAGATTAGAATTTCAGAGAACACAAAGAGTGGATACACCTGCCCCATTGCAAACGATTTTGAGTCATGTCATTCAAGGTCTCTAATCATCGGGTGCTATCATCTCGCGGTCCCCAACCAGGTAGTCTACACCTACCAACATGACTCAATCCACTTGTCAGTGACTTCATGAACCTCTGCCATGTTTTGATGTGGCCGCCCTTGCTTTCTTCCAACCTACTCCTATACCACTAAACATAACACGTCGAGGCAGTCGGTAGTTGGGCATACGTAACACGTGTCCCAGCCATCTCAACTGATGAAGTTTCACTACGTCATCATTTGATTTGCCATTCTTACCTACTACCCGTTCCTAACAACTTCATTACTTACTCGATGGTCCCAGGATATTGTTGATATTAAGTGTTCAGAATTAATTGATCAACATTCAAAATTGAATAAACAAAATATTTCGACAATTTAATAAGAAGAAGACGTAGTTTATCAAAACTATATGATGATATATTTGTGTAATACATTTCGAACAGTCTGATCATATATATCAGTCAGTTAGCTACAACGCAGGACCAGGCAAATATGTACATAGGTTCAAGTAGTCATACCTCATTAGCACAACAAGACCAACATCAAATTCATAGGAATAGTTAATTCAATGGTGGTAATGTACACATATACTTATTAAGAACATTTATATTGTTAATCATATTCGTATAGATATCGATTTAAGTTGACAATCTAAAGAATTACACGTATCTCAATTTTTTTATTTATTCCAACACATAGATATGGGTACAAAGAGGCACCAAATACATATACGCCACACAAATCTCATTCGATATGTGTGAGGGCTGTGATACTGCCCGGGTGGCCAAACCGAAACAGGTGGTTTTCTTAGGGGGCCACACCACGAGCCTTCGACCTGAAGGTCTGACCCACGAGGCAGTGGAGCATCATAAGGAGATGCAGTCCCATGGAAGCCGGTGACCAACAATTGGTTTATACGGTATTTGTCCCCGCAGGATACTGGAGCCCATGTGCACTATTGATTTGGAATCCGATTAAAGCGTCGGACATTCGCTTTTCTTCCTCTCATTTTCGCAAACACCGGTGCCACGAGAAGGCAGTGAGTAGGACTTCCCTGGCAGAGGCTATATACGCGTAGCCATGTGAGAGCATTTCGAGAGGGAAGGCGGACTCTCCCCACTCTCGCCATACCAGGGCATTTGGGGGCGAATGTGTTAGTACCATAGTAAAAACAGGCTTTCATTGATAAAACTTGAATAGACAACAAATACAATCGTTACTTTCAGTAACTTACATCACATGGAACAATGTGAATGCTAGAAGACAACACCTGAACAGTAAAATGGTAAGATTTTTTATGAAGCGAAACCCTCACCTCACTTGAATACATGATGAAGTCAACCCAAAATTACAATAGAAAAATGAGTAAATGAATCACACTGATTTCGGTCTAATCAACAAAATAAATTAACTAGTGAAACTGTTTAAACTAATTATCAGTATGAAGCAAAACTCAGAGTAACTCGTGTCTACCTCATTTGGATACGATATGTATCTGTGATTTTGTGATGTATCCGCTTCTCGTTGTTCAATTTGTGAGCGATATGAAGTGTTTTTCTCTTGAATTAGTGAGTCAATGATGTATCTGAAAGCATGATTCTCATTGAGCATTTCATTTCAAGCTCTAACTTCACTTTATTTACTTTTTCATCCAGCAAGTGGGGATGCGCTACAGCGTCGTATTAATGGAATGACATATGTATATAGCTTTAGGTGACTAAAATGAAACCCCTTCTAAATATCATGCTCTCATATGCAGCATTGACTTACTAAATGAACAGAAAAGTGTTTGGAAATGCTAGACATTGACATTCATTGAACATTGAAAAAGAATGGTTATCCGCATACGACAATGGTTTAAAATAATCAATATGGTTGATGGCTACCAGTGGAATCCAGGACGCGCGTTTCGTTCTATTTGGGACCAGTCATCTGAATGTAACGACATCGCAGAGTTGATTTTCACTCCAGGACTCGAACCCAGTACCATTCGCCTCAAACGCCATCACGTTGTCCACTTAGTTACTGGAGTCCTGATAGCCGCCTGCCTGTGCAATGGGGGTGAAGTTAAAATTCATTCGGTATCGTTTGTTTGAATCTTCCCATTGATGTTTAGCACCGTAATTGATCAGTTTTCCATATGTGCATGCTGTGCAGATTACCTTAATTCATAAGCATTATAAACAATATGGAGGAAATCCGCACAGGATGAACATATGCCAATAAAAGACTGATCAATTGCAATGCTAAACATCGATGGGAAAATTCAAACAAACAATACCAAATAACTTTAAACTTCACCACATTGCACAAGCAAGTGGTAATCAGGACTCAGTAGCTAAGTGGACAACATGATGGTGTTTCAAGCGAACGGTACTAGGTTCGAGTCCAAGAGTAAACATCAACTTTGAGATGTAGATACATCCAGCTGACGAGTTTGAAAAATGTCACTTCGTAAGCAACTCACTTTCCACTAGTCAACAATATTCATTATTATTGGCTTTATTCAATATTATTATTCGATGAAGTGCAGCTAAAAGAAACAGTAATGATAAACATATGGGTAATATATACTAACTATAACATGGAATAATTGCAAAACACTAAGTTCAATATAAGCTTCATTTTATATTGTTATCAATATTGTTTAAATAGATTCATTACTTGTCACTTAAACAAAGGCATACACAATGTTGTGAATACAAATGGAGTGACAAAAAAAAACAATCTTTCACAAGCAAAAAAAAACGAACGAACAAACAAACAAAGCAAAAAGCACCTCTTTTTTTGAAGAGAAATAAAACAACGAGAATGTATATATTGGAATCAATACTAATGATGCTTAAATGAAATGAATTGAGTAGCTTATAATTCAAGGAATGTGAATGTGTATACACTATTCCGAATGCACCGAATTACATTTCTAATAATAGTAATAATAGTAATATTAAGTATTCAATGGAGATAGAAAGAAAAAATACGATATGAAATTGTGCGCGAAAGAAATAGGAAAAAATCAGTGGCGAAATTCATAAAAACACTAAATTAACTCTTTAAAAAAATCAATTAAAATGTCCTAACAACAGCGCATAGGAACAAAAAGACGTCATAGGAGTATGGTCGAGTTATATCTAATAGTAGTAGTAGTCGTCGTAGTAGTAGATAGTAATAATTAAGCTTCACTGATAGTGATTCGAACAATGTTAATTTGTTCTTGAACATTACTTGATTTCTCATTCCATTCATTTGCTTCGTCTAAGAGATTAAAATAAAAAAGAAGAATACGAATAAAGACAACTGTTCCTCTATTTCTCTTAATCTAACAATAATAGTGTATCATCATCTTAATCAGTAAGTAAACATTCAGTCAACTCCGCCTGAAGTCCCTCCGGGGGCTACTGCCAGTCCAAGCCCGGATAAAGGAGGAGGGTTGGGCATGGGGTTAGCGTCCCCATCCCGTACAAAACTAACTCGCTAAAAAACGCTAACCAGAAAAAACTATTCAAACCTATTAAACTCTGCCCCGAGAGTCAGAAGGTCTTCATTTAGAAGAACTATGACGCCTCATGATGAAAGCCGAATTTCTTCGGAAGTTACGAGGCCGATGCCCCTTTTGACAACCAGAGCGACCATTTATTTAGGTACATGGAATGTTCGTACAATGTGGGACACCGGGAGAGCCTTCCAAATTGCTGCAGAAACATTCAGTCAGTCAGCTACAACGTAGGACCAGGCACATATATGCATCGGTCCAAGTTGCCATACTTCATTAATACAACAAGATGAACACCGGATTCATAAAAGTAGTTAATTCAGAGGTGGTAATATATAAAAGAAAGATTGCATATAAGGACTTTTGAGAAACTTAACAATTATCTATTTTATTAAATACTAGGCTCTACCAATTAAATGATGGTACAAGGATGAAACATTGTCATGAAATGACAACATCAAGTAGAGAACTATTTAAAACGCATGAGGACTGGGGCACAACATAATCACTTACTTACTAAGGCCTATCATCTCTAGTGGAGCATAGGCCACCGATCAAGATTCTCCAAACAACTCAACATAACTAACTGTTTCAAGTTTTGGCATGGGACTCTTTTTATTATTGACTATGAAATAATAATTGATGGATTTCAATAATGTCTGGAACGAAGTGGTCATAATTGATTATGGTTACGCAATACTGAGTGTACTAATTAAAATTGAAAATGTGGTGTGAAAATTGTCTGCTTACAAAAAGAGCTAGAAATCTTGAATTTAATCTTTGTTAAGATCATTAACGTACATTAGCTAAAGTGTCTAAACATTGGTAGTAAAAAGAAAACAGCTAGTGTACCTTATAGTGTTCAATGGATTCAAAGTTAGGATCAATACATGACATAAATCATCTTTAAATAAAACTAACCACTGAAAACTATCAACATCGCCTACCTTGATAAGCGAAATTTGTTGATGTATGTTTAAGTTAGAAAAAAAGCGAGCAAACCAGAACGGGTCATTAGTCCATAAAGTCAATGACTATTGAACTGATTCATGTCAGCAGATGCTGACTACTTGGTTGTGGTTAACGTGATTACTCTAACCAATGGTTTGGAATAAAATAGTTCGGAATCACTAGGAATCTACGGATAATTTACTTTCTATTTCCCTTAAATTCTAAGTTTCAAAACTAACATATACTTCGTTCTCATTCCAAAAATCCATACTTTTTTTCTGAAAGCATATTGTATGTCTTATCTTTTCTACTATCAGTAATATTGTTCCTATATATACTACTCTATCCAGCATTTGTCTTGATAATTTCATCGGCGCTGTGCTCATGGTTTAATAACTTGATTCGATACACATATCTTTTAGATTCCACGTTGCTTATGATTGTTGACGAACTTGCAAAGAAACAATTCAACACGATAATCAACCAATAATAGTAGTCAACTAGACAGCGAAATAAGTTATATAACTATACATTACAGTTATTGATTCAAATCGGAATAACAAGCCATCAGTTTTGTTTTAATGATGTTTGAAACATGACAATTTGATATAATTGTATTTCACAGATTGAAATCATGAGTCAATTGAAGCTAAACCACCATGGAAAACCTGGAAGCACTGGACGGCCGTTTCATCCTAGTATGGGACTCCTCAACAGTGCGCATCCAAATTTGTATTTGTTTAGCTTAACAATCGAAAGAGTAATGGTTCAATAACCAATCAGTTGAAAACAAAGAATATAGGTATTTATAAGTTCACTTGTTCTTGTGGAGTAGATTGCATAGGTCATACAAAGTGAACGCTTTCTGAACGCATCTCTAAACATTAACCTATGTGACCTTCAAAAGGTGAGTGTAATGGAATAAGCAGTTCAATAGTGGAACATCTTGTGAACTTTGGTCACATAGCCGTATCTGATAAGTCCTGTAAAATCATTTATACAGGTCGACGATTACATTCATCAAAAGGAGCAATACAGAAACGCTAGCAATCCACTTTTTTTCAAACCTAAACTCTGTGTGCACTTTATTTTCATAAACGGTAATTTGATGTTATTAGATCCTTCCAATGTTTTTAATCTGCATAATTTTAATGATTCGTTATTTATCACCTTCATGTTTTGGATTGATTTTTCACCCTTTTCAAATTCGTCAAGTAGACAACGATCCAAATCACAAGTGATTCAATATTATAACCTCTCCTTAATTCTCGATTATTAAGCAACTTTCTTTGACACATGGTATGATGTGATCATCTTCAATAGACTATCAATACGATTTTACAGTTTTCGTAAATGATATCGTTAAAAAGAAAATTTAGTGAGACTATAATTTATGGGAGACTAATCAGGTGTAAGATAACAGGTTTCGGATTTTGGCGAGAAATTCACTCATCCATAGTTTTGATGTCAGTTCGCGACGAAAACGCAAAATCTAATTCCCCACATAGGTTTTATAACCCATAATTAGACCTAATTACTAGGTGGACACTTTCAAGGTCAATTAAGCGTCACTCAAAGGTCATCCATCAATTATAGTCTCATCGAAAATTTTCTTCACTAAATTGTCTTGTCACTTTTTAAATGAATACAAACAATGGATATCATAATAGAATTTGGTGGTAATAATATATTTAAGATCAGTTCATGATCTCGACTGTAAAAATAATGTAAATAAACGTATATATTATGTATCAACTGAAATTTATCCATAAGTCTATTTTACTAACCTTCTAGAATTGTTAATTCACCGGCTAGATTTTCAGATTCTTCTTCTGCACGAACAGCTCGTTGAGTAGCCTATAAATTCATTTAAAATTTGAGGATTTATAGCTGGATTTACATATATATATAAGTATTCATCTATTTAAACACATTAACATTGGCACAATGAGATATCAAAATATACATGCACCACACAAATCAATGGATTTGGGTACGATACCGTCGAGAGTGGGGAGAATCCACTATCCCAGCCGAAATGCTCTCACATGGCCACGTGCATACAACCACTAACAGGGAAGTCCTACTCACTGCCTTCTCGCGGAGGGCGTGTTCTTTACGAAATTGAGAGGACAGAAAGCGAATGTCCGGTGCTTTAACCGGGTCGGTGGATACGGAGGATCCACTAGAGGAGTTAGAAAACTCTGATTCCAAACCAATGGTTCACATGAGCTGCAGGATCCTGAAAGAACAAATGGCATATTAACCAATTGTTGGTCACTGGCCACCATGAGACTGCATCTCCTGACGTTGCTCCACTCCCTTGTGAATTAGACCTTCAGGTCAAAGGCTCCAGGCGTGGCTCTCTAAGAAAACCACCTGTTTCGATCAAGGCACTCAGGCAGTATCCCAGCCCTCACAAATCGAATGACTTGTGTGGCGTATATTTATTTGGTGTCTCTTTGTATCAATGTTTATGTGTTTAAATAAATAAATAAAATGGACTGCAGTACTGTCTGAGTATGCAAACCGAAAGAGGTGATTTTCTTAGGGTCACTAAACGAACGTGTTGACCCAGAGGTCTAATAAACATGAAGTGGAGCAACGTTACGAAAAGCGATTCCATTGTAGCCGGTGATCAAGAATGGGTTCATATCCCACTTTTTGCCACAGGACCCTAGAGTCCATGTGCACCATTGATTCAGAACCACAAGTTTCTAACTACCTTAGGTACATCCACTATACTCACTAACTTAGTTTAAGCATCGGACATAGTTTTTTCGTCATCTCCATTCTGTAAACAACAACCCTACCACGAAAAGGCAGTAAGGACTTCCTTGACAGAGCGAAAACATTTACATGTTTAACCTATTACTTAAAGACATACAAACAGCATTTAAAAATCTAGACCTAATTAAGAGGATATGCCGTTTATGTGAAGTGTGGTAGATTTTTTGCATGGACTTTTCGTTGTTCTGCTTCTGATAAATAAAAAAGTTACGTGCTCTTTATATAAACAATATTAGTGCTTATCGAATGATGGCATTTCAAACGTTTATTATACTGTGTTTTGGAGTCAAATGCTAACATGCTCTTTTAACCACCTGTTGAAATAAGCTTACCAAATGAGGTAGAAATCACTTATTTTAATAGCTGAAAGATGTAACAACAACTTTAATGTATAGCACATATTGGGACACTGTCTTCTGGAGAGCGGTTAATAAGTGGCTAAAATACAGTTATCTTGTAACCAATAGGTGACAGGTTCAAATCAAACACTATAGTGTGGCGCATATATATTGGCGCTGTCTTGTACCAATATTTATGTGTTCAAATAAATAATAAATAAACACTATAGACGTCAGTTAGAACAGCACGATAGAAACACTAACCCTTACACAAAAAACATGAGGCTTAAAGTTAAGCAAAGAAATTTGTACTTAGTAAATGAATCATGTTACTGTTATTATTCATGTCTCCAGTTTATAGGTCTCTTAATTGAGTGGTCTTCAACTATTAAAAATAAGCTATTTAATGAAACATATAATCTGGCCATCATGGAAATTTTATGGTGAAAACAAATGACCAAGAGATAATCTGCCGAACATGAAGAACTATTTTTGTGATCCCCTAAGTATACAATGAAAAGAAGTAGATAATAAAGAATACTCTAGTAGGCTATGACCAGAAAGAAAACGTAACTATTATACGGAGTCACACAGTGTCACAGTTGCTGCACAAGGAAAACCATTATTGCTCTCTGTCTTCCCTTAAAGTATGAAATTAAAATCGCTTCATGTAGTTCTTTCTATCAACTATTTCTTTCTTCCTATATGCAATCTTTTTTTATATATTACCACCACTGAATTAACTACTTCTATGAATCCGGTGTTAATCTTGCTTTGCTAGTGCGGTATGGAGACTTGGACCGATGCATATTTGTGCCTGGTCCTACGTTGTAGCTGACTGACTGACTTTGGATGAATTTTACGCCCAAGAAGTAATAATGTTCCGAGCGATATTCATACTGTCCACCTACGACGGCACAAACACTAATGTACTCAAGTTACTATCATAAACTATTTGAAAGAACCAGGATCTGGTCTTTTAATGTACACAGATGGTTTGGTGATTGAACCAGTTGTCTTTTCAACAGGTACTAGATTCATGCCCCTCCGTATTTATCATGAGTTAAACAGTGGGTTAATGACACTAACCCTTCCATAAAATGTACAGTTGACAAATTAATCAATGATCAAACGGAAAAGACGATTAAGAGTTGGTAGGAAAACAAAAAATGGAGGTCAAGGTTAAACACATTAAATGAATGTTTGTTAATTTAGTGTTGTCAAAATCACTAAATAACATGAAGTTACTATGTAGGCAATAATCACTAACCACACTTGGTTAATGATAAATTGTTTGGATAATTGGTTGAATTGTTCAAATTTGTAGTTAATAACTACTGATATAAAACAGTATCATTCCACCTTAGATTTGGCTGGTCTTCTTTATATACAAACGATTCATCTTGTGATTATCAAACAAAGCGTATTTCTGATACTCTTTGCCTGTGAATGGTCAAAGAATATGATGTGATTATTATAACAGTAAATTTGCAAGGTTAACGACCGAAATCAGGAATATATGAAAACTCTGCAGTATGAAGGCTGTAGGAATGTATGTTTTTCTGTGCTGATCAGTAGTTGACAGTAACATTAATAGATGAGGACAACAATACCAGTTACACGTAGAAGTGAACAGTTATCTAAACTGATTAAGAGGCTGGTAGTGAGATAATCACACACACACAGATAGATCCAGTTATGTCGTAATCGGAAAGAAGTGAAGAGAAGAATGAAGGAGAAATGACAAACAGTGAGTTATTTCTGGGAGTATTGTTCCACTTACCTCGAAATCTGTAAATTAAAAACAGTTATGTGCCTAATTTATCCTACGCATCATAGGGTTTCCCTTAACCTACAAATTAGTGTTATATTACCTACCATTACAAGATTATTGCAATTTAAACAAGATCCTTTTATGCTGTTTCTGTAATGTTGTACTGTTCTCACCTATTTGTCCATGTACCTTTTTGAATTAAAGAATCATGTAAATCGGGCTATAGTTATTTTTTATCCGTGGCAACCAGTCAGGTCACTGGTCAGTGATAGGATGGTTCTACTTTTATCTGCCCTCGGAGCTGTTCAGTCACAAACCAAAATCATGGGTTACAAGGGTCAGGATTGAACTAGGTAACTTAGCACATCGAGACCGTAGGATATTTAAAGTCTGGTTTCTCTCCAAATTAAACAAAGACTAATGGGCAAGCAAAATCAAGGTTATTATAAAAGTACAGGACACTTCGGAGAACCATTCAGCTAGCTTTGATTATCGACTACCAGCACCCTGAAAGGTAGACTAATGTATGGACTCTAAATATCAGTGAATTTTGGGAGCCCTAACTTATGAGGTGCAAGATAGAAGTAGTCATCGATGGACTCATTCTAGAAGCCCAGAGTAATCTTCCAAGTTTTGTTATTACGACTGATACATTATTTACAATTCGGTAGTCAAACAGCTGCATCTAAACGACACAGAGTGCCTATTGTTCCAGTTTATAAACAAAAACAAAGGTAAAGATGGCATGAAAACTGAAAATTTGGATGACTGAAGTAGTAAGTCACCTACTAAGTTATCATAGCTATCAAAACTGAATCCGAGAAATCTGTGAAAATCAGACAAGCTTCAGATCTTGTCGAGGAAGTTTCATCAGTAGGTTTATCCTTTGCCTCACTTTGAAGTCCCTTTCTATCTACTTAGGTGAGGGCAACATGGTAATAATACTAGACACTACATAAAAAAACACTCCAAGTCAAACACAAACAAGTACTTAGTAAATGAGTTGCATTATGTAGCTTTAGCTATGTTATCATTTTACGTGGCTACTTCGGGTAGTATTCTACGAAGATTTTCGATTTTTGTTTAGGCAATACAAGAGGTAATGTTTGCTTTAATCATTTTCTTAGAGGTTGATCTTATTTATATAGATACAAAACATAAGATGAAATTGTATGAAATTAAAATGCTGAGAAAGTTCATTTTCTTTTAAACATTTTAGATAACAAAACCATGAACTTTCCGAATTTTCTCAGGTTTAAATTAAGACAGAGAAAGTCAAACGAATAGACATACAAGCAGAAAAATAGGAATATTAACAACAGTCGCGAGTTGAGAGGATCAAGTCAAAAGAAACAACTTAAAATAGTAAGTAAAAAGAGTGTGAAGATATGCTTAAAACTAAAGCGGGTATAAGGAATTGATGTATTCACACTACATCAGTCGATTTTAAGATATATTCCTCACAGTTTCTTCTCTTTCAGATCAAAATACAAAATTTCGTCCCATTTTACTGAGCTTAGAACAACAGTCGACTATTTTTGATAGATTAGCATTTTCCTTAAATGGTCAACCACAGCGACTTTCCGACCCTCCTTAACATCCAATAATAAAACACTGAGGTAGACGGTGCTTGAAACATGTAACACATCTCACCAACCCCAAATGATAGAGGTTCAAAATGTTAATTTATATAGCTCTTTGAGCAAATTATACTTCTAGGAGGTACATTATCTTTTAAGTAGTAAACAGATTGTCTAAAATATATACCGTCATAACTCTATTAATTAAAAGTGGAAGGCAAAACTAGGTGCTCTTCAGATGATTGATTACCTTCATTTCTGCAGTTGTTCATACTGAAACTTGCATAAAGTATTGATAAACAAGCAGGTCATTGCGATATTCCTTCGTTAGTCGTAAAAACGACAATTAAGTAGCCAGATGATTGAAAACGATGGTATTTTATTTGCAACTATGACTATAAACATCAGGTTGTGACTTTTTCTTTTGTAAATGAAGCAACGGATCAGTGGTTTGACTTAAAGCCACTGAGTCACAGGTCCGAAGCTCGATCCACCTAGTTTATATCCAAAAACTGGACAGTATCGCTAGTCATCACAATGTGGTTGATAGCTAAGCACATGAAAATGTACCTGGTTGATGAGTGAAAATAAAATACCATACAGTAAAAATTAGCCCCGAATGCTATTCACCACTTGCCTTTTGTACACATGAGATATCCATAAAAGGATATGCTTTCCTAAAAATTATTAACAGCAAAAAGGCCAAAACAGTAACACTTATATAGATTAGTTAACGCTGTCAGCAGATGAAGGCTGAAATAGAATCTTACTAACAAGCTTTTGATGGATGTTTTACTTTTAATTCAAAATTAGACTCCCCAAATTTCCTTGTAAATAAGAAAAACATGAGTTACTTACGGAATTAATTTGTTCTGTCAGTTCCCTGATTTTTTCCTCCAGCAATTCTATGCGTTTATTTGCCTGTAAAGAAATCAATTTTCAAACAAAATCATACGAGACCTGGACTCATAAAAATACTAAAAAAGTTAGAGAGAAGTTAGATACGATGTCGGCCTCATCGAGTATGGCCAAACAATACAGCTATTTAGTGGAAAATGTAGTAAAGTGAAGAACCTTGAATAGCGAGAGTACTGCAATAAGTATAACACAAACAGGTTTATATTCGTTTTATGGAGGATGCTTTTATGGCTTGACTAGACGAAATTTACGATTGTCAAAATGAATGGACAGAATATTGGCCGATGGATGAAAGAAACGATATGTGACCGAGCAATGGCTATTCACAAGACCATATTGAATTAGGACACCATACAATTAGAAATCAAAGACAATAAAGCTAGTCGGCGAGACTCTAATTTAGGGACGAGCCAATCAGAAGCGTTTGAGCAATTTCAAGGTCACGGAGCCAAGTTCAACACGCGCTGCTAACATACGATCGGTTCACAGCGGATTTTAGATTGTAGGTGATTAATGAGAGGTTACAACGGATGGGACGGCGAAACTCTATTTCAGGGACGAGCCAATGAGAAGCGTTTGAGCAATTTCAATTATTAGCCAGTCAGAAGACAGTATAAAGTAAAAATATATTACAAGAAAGTAATGAATTACAGTGGATATTCTTCTTTTACATGATTTAAAAACCTGTTGAGGTTTGATAAAGACTCAGAAATTCTGAATTCATAATGCATATTGTATAGAAACTCGTCCATAGGGTTAGGGTTTGGGGTTAAAATTAGGGTTAAGGGTTAGGTTAAGGTTAGGGTTAGGGTTAGGTTAGATTAGGATTTAGGGTTAGGTTAAGGTTAGGGTTAGATTAGGGCTTAGGGTTAGGTTAAGGTTAGGGTTAGATTAGGGTTTAGGGTTAGGTTAAGGTTAGGGTTAGATTAGGGTTTAGGGTTGGTTAAGGTTAGATTTTAGGTTAGGGTTAGGTTAGGTTAGGGTTAGATTAGGGTTAAGGGTTAGGTTAAGGTTAGGGTTAGGTTAGGATTAGGGTGCTAACATGCGATCGGCTTACATCGGATTTTAGAGATGTGTCTACTTACAGGCTACAACCCTAACCACTAACCCTATGGACGAGTTTCTATACAATATGCATTATGAATTCAGAGCCTCTGAACCTTTATCAAACCTTAACAAGTTTTTAAATCATGTAAAAGAAGAATATCCACTGTAATTCATTACTTACTTACAATATATTCTCACTTTATACTAACTGTCTTCTGATTGGCTAATAATTGTCAAGGTCACTTAAAATTCGTTCAAAGGTCGTCCTTAAATTAGAGTGTCGCCAGCTAGTCATATGAACTTTGTCGTGCAATAAAAGCTTACATATATGATATAAACACAAATCAAACGCGATAAAATACTACTTATTTATTTGAATACAAATACTGGTACAAAGAGACACCAAATAAATATACGCCACACAAGTCATTCGATTTGTGAGGGCTGGGATACTGCCTGAGTGCCTTGATCGAAACAGGTGGTTTTCTTAGAGAGCCACGCCTGGAGCCTTTGACCTGAAGGTCTAATTCACAAGGGAGTGGAGCAACGTCAGGAGATGCAGTCTCATGGTGGCCAGTGACCAACAATTGGTTAATATGCCATTTGTTCTTTCAGGATCCTGCAGCTCATGTGAACCATTGGTTTGGAATCAGAGTTTTCTAACTCCTCTAGGTGGATCCTCCGTATCCACCGACCCGGTTAAAGCACCGGACATTCGCTTTCTGTCCTCTCAATTTCGTAAAGAACACGCCCTCCGCGAGAAGGCAGTGAGTAGGACTTCCCTGTCTGAATGTATACGCGTGGTCGTTTGAAAGCATTTCGGGAAGGAGATCTGACTCTTTCCACCCTCGGTGGTACCAAGGCATTTGGGGGCGATAAAATGCTATAAGCGATTTGAGGGAATTAATTTTTAGGTCACTTATTCTCCAATCAATGAAGACCTAAACGAAAACACTACGAATTTAAAGTGAATACTGGGACCACTTAAAATGATCCAAAGCTTTTTGGCTGAACTCATTACAAACCAAAGGATCTAATCAAGCCAAATTGAGCAATTTATTACAAGATAGAGATAATTCACTTGACTCTACAGGAACTACTACTCCAGTTTTGAGTACAACATAAATCCAAGATAGTAATACTACTATACTGTAGTGTGCAGAAAGTTTATTAGGGCTGAGTTAAGGGTGACTTATCTACTGCGTGCAGACCTATCAGGACTTATATGAGGTATTTGATCGGGTTAAAGATGAATTTCAATCGGTTGAAGTTCGTTCCTTGATCTACGAATAAATGAACAATAACTTGTCATTTTTATACATATATAAGTCCCACTTCATCATGGATGCAGTAAACGCGTTCTCATCTGTCTGTACCCCATACACCCCCCAAATTATCACTAAAAAACACTTCAGAAAATCCTAACACTAAGAATCCATTATTTTGAGCTGAAGCACTCCCAATCTAGTCCCACTACTTCTAAGATAGATTATATGCAGTGGAGGGCGAGCAGCCATATTTACAAGCATATGTGTGCCACTTCCGAGAACTATTAAAGCGAGGATTTCTATAAATAACAAAAAACAACCAAGTAAATCGAACCTCGTTTCCTTGTGTCTCAATGCGACGTAGTCTGTTCCCATGTAAATTAGCTTCATCTCTCAACTCTTTGATAGTCCTAAAGGCGAGTTAAAACGTTCGAATGTAATACTTGGTAAGAGATTCTTCTTTCCGATCATATTTTTCCAAAATCTCCATTTTTCTTGTAGTAACTTAAGAGTCTGAAGAATTCAAAATAACTGACTATAAAAACCTCATCGTAAACTTGGGCTGAAGACTTTGCAAGACTTTGTGCTTCGTTAACTTCGTCTTCGAGAGAACGAATTGATTGTTCTTGACTTTCTAGTCGTTTTTCTAGAGACTCATGTGCTCTAGAACGAATATTTTTAATAAATTTGGTACTTCTGACACTCAGCAGCTGATTTTTGAAGCTCACATAGGCGCTCAGTATTAACTCTGATAGTTTTTTCCTGCTGTTCACGCTTTTGTTCTAAGCTATCTAGAAATCTATGTTTATCTTTGATTTCTGAGTCAAGCTAAACTACTAGATAACAATTTGAACGTATTACCTTTTTAACAAAACTTCTTTGAGACTCCTTTTCCTTACGTTTAAGGTCCAATTCATGAGACAATTTCGCAATGTTGTCATGTAAGTCTGATAGTTTAGCACTTATCATACTAACAGAAACCATGTTTCGTTAGTCATAAACTGTGCGCTTTGGAATCAGAAAGCTTCCGATTTTCAATATCTTCACAGTGAGCTACTTTACACTGAGCCACACCAACCAAATGGTTTACTTTCGTGGCTAGTAGCTGTAGGATTTCCATCTTCAGACATTATTAGGTATTCAAATACTATGTTATACACCAAAATTAAAGTTGCTAGTTAGTTAATATTTTGTATGCATATACTTTATACTACAGTTTCAGTTCAGTTTCAGTTTTGGAAGGACAGGAGGCTCGATGGCCTATGTTAGTCCTGGCAATGGTGGTCTCTCAGTTGATCCAACTTTCTTTTGAAAGAGTCGACGGATGGAGCCTCAACCACGTGCTGAGGTAGTGAATTCCACTCGTTGATGATTCGATGGGAAAGTCGATAGTCAGCTGACAAGTAATTTGTTCTCGGCTTGTGAACTTTTTCGGAGTGTCCTCGTAAATTCTCTGTTTTGGAAGACAAGAAAAATGAGGGCATATCAGGTGCAAATTTATCACTAAGCAATTTGAAAACTGTAATCAAGTCGCCTCTAGTTCTGCGATATGACAACGGGAAAAGGTTCAGCTTGGCCAGTCGAGCTTCATACGGAAGCTTCGCTATTCCGGGAATCAGCTTAGTTGCCGTTCTCTGAACCTTTTCCAGAAGCTCACTGTCTTTTTTAAGCAGGGGCTAGCCGCTTGTATGCAGTACTCAAGTTTAGGACGTACGAACACTGTATACAAAGTCAAAAACGTCTTGGCGTCGACATGACTAAAAGCCCTACGTATTGACCATAACGTTCTAAAACTTTTGGCGGCTATTGCACGGCAGTGTGCAGTAGTCTTTAAGTCTTGACTAACGATGACTTACAAGTCATTATGTGTCTGGACGACAGGTAGCTCAGTGTTATTCATCGTGTATGTATCTGTACCTTGATGACCGATATGCATCACAACACACTTGGAAGTATTTATCGGCAACTGCCATGTTTGAGACCATTCAGATAATTTCTTCAGGTCATTTTGAAGTTCTAAGCTATCACTCTTACATCGTATCGTTTTCCATATCTTGACATCGTCAGCATATAGCAAGACCGATGATGATAGGAGACAAGGAAGGTCATTTACATACAAGAGGAATAGCACTGGCCCCAAAACTGTACCCTGGGGCACTCCACTAAGCACAGTTTCCCAGCTAGATAACTTTGAGTTCACCCGAACTCTTTGTTGACGCCCAACTAAGAAGTCTTTTATCCACATCAATAGATTGCCTCCAATCCCGACTTTTCTTAACTTATATAACAGCCGGTTGTGCGGAACCTTGTCAAAAGCTTTACTGAAATCAATGAAGGCGACGTCTACAGGTAGCTTTTGGTCCTTAAGAGCGCACCAGCTTTCACGAGCCACTAATAAGTTAGTGAGACAAGAATAACCTATTCTGAAGCCGTGCTGCTTCTCCGAGAGGATCCGGTTTTTATCGAGATACTTAAACAGCTCCTTCCGAATAATCTTTTCTAAATTTTAACAACCACACTAGTTAGGCTAACGGGGCGGTAATTCTCAGTTTTATGTTTCGTACCTGTTTTGAAGACAGGACTTACTATGGCGTTTTTCCAGTCTTTGCGTAAACGACCCTGCGTAACGGATAGGCTAAAGCATGTACTTAAAGGGCTTGCAACGAAGTTAGATAATTGATTTAGTAGCCTAGGATGTAATTCATCGGGCCCCGTGGATTTACCTATGTCAAGCTTATTTAGCAGACCAAAGACATCGAGTTCTTTAATGGTCACGCTATCCAGTGTATGTGTGGGGGATTTGTATGAGCTGACGAGAAGGGTGCTTCTATGATGTATACATTGCTAAAGTAGTTCGAGAACACTTGAGCTTTACCAAAGTCGTCCTCCACTAAGGATGAGGCAGTACTGTCTCCCCATAGTGCAGGAATATCTCCACTTCTCTTTGTCCTTTGGTTTATATAAGAATACAAGCGTTTAGGACATTCTACGGATTCCTTAACAATCTTTTCTTCGTACAACTTTCTAGACTTACGGAGGGTCGAGGCACAGATATTCCGGACTTTTCTATACTGGGATTTAGTTTCATCAGTTCCACATTTTTCTTCTCTTACGGAGAAGGATGCGAACCTCCCTACTGAACCATGGTGGGGAGTTTCTCGGCCCCCTTGGTATAGTCCAAGAGATGTGAAGTGAGGTAACTTTTAAGTATGAATTTCGAAATGCGTCCCAGGCCTTTTCAACTGAGGACTCTGGGTCTATTGTCCAATATACTAACGATGCTGAGTGCATGATACCTGGTATATTTGCTTTCCAGACGTTAGGTCTGGATTGGGCTGACGAGTGCTCGTAACTGACAGTTATATGGAAGTCGGAATTTAAACTGCGTGATCACTTTTACCTAGGGGTGGCATATAATGAAGGTTAGCAACGTCATCCACATGGTGAGTGAGTATCAGATCTAGTAAGGATGATTCAGTGTCCGGGTCATACCTAGTCGCTTCTTTCACATGTTGTACTAGAGCACATGTGATAACCGCATCAACTAGTTCCTCCTCGAAGGGATTTTCTGACGATTCAGTTCGCAGATTTTCCCAGTCTACCATAGGTGCATTAAAGTCCCCTAGGATTAGACATCGACCACTTTGTGACCAAGTATTGAGACTGCTCAGAAGGACATCATTTACCTCACAGCTTGAACTGCGTTAGACCAAACCGATCAGCAGCTCTTGTCCCTTGCATTTCAAGCGGAGACTAACTACGTGAGGCAACCTGACGTATCTAATGAACTAAGCGTTTTTACATACACCTTACTCCCCCCGTGAATTTCGAATTACATGTTCAGACGATCATATACCCGTTTAGTCGAGGAAAGCCATCAATATGTCGAGGTGTTTTTCTAAGATATCTAGCAGCTGCAAGGGATTCGTATCACGGCGCACCCACTCGTGATCTGCTGCATATGCGTGACCGAGCGCCTTCAGCCGAATTGTGCTCAGTAAAACTAGTGAGGCCAGCAGCAATGCTGATGACCTGCAGACCTATTTATTTTGGGTGTTTATTTGCAGCCATAAAGCTCACTTTCCCCGTAGTAAGATATTGATGACCCTAAGACACGGTCAGTCAATAGTTTAAAACCCTACGAGCTTTTCGTTGGCAAATACTCTACTAATAGCTTGTTATGTCCAGCAGCACCTATTCATCTTTCTCTAATATAGAGCAACATGTGATACAATATAGCAACAGAAAAATTTCTGTTCACCTCATTCTTCGTCGGTTTTCCGTCATTTTCAGCCATCCTTAAAGAGGAAAAAAATGAAAGCGAAGATGCATGTCATTGTGCCTGAGGACACGATGCGTCCGAAAAAAGCTGTTATGAATGAGCATAGATAACATGTCACAGCGAGAATATTTTGCGCAGTGATCTTTTGGACGTTGTTCAAGAACTAAAATATACGCATATATGAGCGTAGTAGCAAGAGCACAAAGTTGATATTTTCATGTTTGACGCAACAATACAAATGAAATAAAACAAAAAGTTATGCATTGTCCTACGCACAGTGGTCATTTAGGTGTTCTGAGAACCTCATCCTTATTCCAAGATGTGTTGTTTTTTGCCGATTTTCGGACGCCAGAGAAGTTTGTCCGCTGTCGTTAACAATCAAGAATAGCAACGTAATTGTGTGACTCGTTTCACTCGAGAGTATGAGAAGAAAACGAGTCTTATTACTGTTTTTAGTAATCAGCTTCAGGACGTTTAGTGCTGGCGTTATCGTCAGTTCCATTTTTATCGATAATATGGTACTTAGGTTGACGATTAATGACTTTGAAGGATCCTTCGTATTCCGTTTCGAGAGGTCGTCGCAACGAGTCGTGACGCTCGAAAACGTGTTTGCTAAGTTGTGAAGCGCTTCGAACGAAAACATCAGTTGACTGAGGCCATTCGGAAACATATTTAGCTGAATGCATGGCGTTTGTAAGACTGCTCGTATAAGAGTTTAGATATGTATTTATAGAAAAAGATGAATGATCTACAAATTTTCTTCGAAATCGGAATGTCGTTCCGTTAACGAGTTGGTCTGGAGTGTATCCTGGGTCAGCTTTCACTGCTTTACGTATACCAAGAGCAATAGTTCACTGTGAAATGTTTTCAGCTGAGAGTGAAGCCTTCAACCGTCAGTGAAGTAGTTCTACTAACTAGACAGCTTGTGTGGTCGTTCGGAATCGCGTATTTTCCAATAAACAACAAGGGATTCCAGATGCTAATGGTCTGTTTGATGATCAGATATTCCGAAGTCTAACATGTGAATGAATTCCAGTTTGATCAATTTTAGCTCAACGGGGGCTAGTCGACGCGCCTTAAAAATACTAATGGTCCTGTAGCCGTGACGTGGTGTGCGACATCTCTGGCTACACAAGGTAGATTTGCAGATTGCCGTGTTGTAGCAGGTCTATATCAATGCTTAACATAGAAACACCCTCAACAACGAA